TCAAACATTGTGTGATACCTTTAGGTTATCTTGGATGTATATACACTGACTGTATTACCGGGTAAATTGTGTAATTTTGTAAATAATAAATACAACTTAGGGTAAGGCATGCAACGTTCAGCAAAACAACTGAATTCATTTTTCAAAGGTGTTTAATTATTCTATTTTTCGCTGATATAAAGTTAAGTCAGCTAAATTAACAGAATACATTGTTTCACTGGAAACTTCATGAATCAAAACAGTGAAAATGAATTAATGGTTTTCACAATGATTGAACTTTCACACACAACAATATAAATAAAGAACAACTTTGCAGTCTGTAGTTTTCACCTTTTCACCCCCAGTTCCCTTTTTTCGTCACCAATTAGTTCCGTTTATGGTCTGCACTTTTCTTCAAAAGATTGGTGTTGAAAAAGGTTAAAACTGTAGTTTCAGAAATATAAGACTACTGTTTTCCCAAAAAAGAAGAGATACAGGTAGAGGATTGGTAAGGATTGGGGGTGGCATGGAAGTACAAGTCAAATTTTCTATACAGGAACCAAAATTAAAAATACTAACAAAAATTACAAACTTTGTATGTAACTAGTGTAATGAACAGTGAAAGAATGAAACCAGTCCAAGGGAAACAACACTATGGAGAAATAAAAGAACAGAGGTTCACAAAACTAATTAATGGTACATGTACAACAAATAAAATGCCAAAGTAAATCATGATTCAAAAAATTTTATGCAAAGATTTTTAGAGCCCTGCAATCGTCGTGAAAGAGTTCGGAACTTTACGTAGATACGTATTTACTGAGGCAGTTGATGTACACGTACACATACAAAATAGGAGATAATAATACCATATACAATTAGAAAAGAATTCTAAATGAAAATATTATAAAAGAATTTTCATTTTGGAATTCACTTTCACATCTCTGAAAATGTAGCAAACGCATTTTGTATGGAGGGTAGATCTGCAATATTGTAATATTTCATTATGACTTGTCGTAATGTGGTTGATACCACAACAACGAATGACTTTTCACATTTTTAATAATATATGGGCTCTATGTAAACGAATTACATAGTGTACAGATTAATGGTGATATCTGCGACTATAAATCGTGATCGCAATCATGACCGAAACATTTAATCAATATCTTAAAGAATGTACAACTCGTTTTGAAATCAATGACTTCTTGAGCGATGACGCTAATCAGTACCTGTTCATACTACCTTAGATGCCAAAAGTCATATAAAATATATTGTATAAATCACAGGTAACCATAGTACCGGTAATTATAGACCCCGCAGCTTTGTATTCTGAATTAGTGAGTCTGGTTTATGCACTGCAAAATTCAATTAATATGTTTTGAATTGAAAGGAATTGGAAACCGTTGTAGCGTTCATCATGCCACATTACCAGCAGCAAATGTGAGAATTGTATCTTCCATTCGTTAAAGCGCCATAGTACATATTCAAATTCTGCATGATATATTTTACAAGTACTATATTTTTTGCATAAAATCTGTACTGAAAATGATACAGACTGGTAAATGTGGCACGTTAAATTTTGATACTGTAAGGGCATTCAAGGCGACTAAAGCACTCATCCAAAGAAACCAATTGAGAACCCATATTTTGTGATGCGTGAAATTCACTAAAATCTGACTCAAGGTAAAGTTAATACTGGTATTAGGTTTACATTACTTCATACCCTACACATTATAGAGTTTCTCAGGTGTACAGCGAAATTAAGGTAATACTAAAGTGAAACTTAGTGGTGTGCATAATACAGTGATTTACTAATAATAACTACAGGTAATTAAACAAAAATGCTAAATTAATTAACACATGGCATGTAGCAATTAATCAACTCTTTAGATGTCATCATTTTGATTTTTTTTAATGTATTTTTCTAATTGTTTTTTATAATTTTGAACCAAAGTGTCATAATTTCACATTGGTCTTGATTAAAATATAGGAAAAATATGAAAAAAATTATGTGGGTTTTATTTTGTGAAAATAAGGTTGAATTTGGCTCTCAAAGAGTTAAAAGTGTTTTATAATATTTTTCAATAATTTTAAAAAGCTCTGATGCTCAAAATATTCGACCCTATAAATCAATTTTTTTTATTATAATCTGGAACAGCATACATTATACAAATATTGCTGCATCATAAATCACACTGCCTGTCACACAGTGGGTGTGTGGTATGTCTATTACACTCAGCAGACAGAATCTGTAAGAGTTTATTACCATACCACTTCTGCTTCACTGTAAACCACTTTTCGTGAATAACATGAGTCAGTGAAAATTGGGAAATTTCATAGCAGTGAATGTCTCCGGTGCTGCCCTACTGCACAGTGTCAGTGATTTTTCGCAAAACTTTGTCTCCAATAAATGCCATAAATCACGGAATCGTTAAAATTTCTAGTAGTGAAAATAAAACAGATCACAGTAGTGATCACAGTATAGGAAACGTACATATAACCGGTACTACAAGATTCAAATATTTTTTTTTAGTAAAAAATCAATATTATTATTATTGTCAAAACATAACAATTTTGTTTATTTATATTTATTATTTATAGTGTTGTAATATTGAATAAACAAACAAACAAAACTGAGCAAACTGCCATATTCTGTCTGGGTATGTCTACATAGGCCAGGGTACACTGAGTACACAGGCCTGGGTAATCTGTCTACATACTATACTATATAGGTACACACATAAGTACAAAATTTGGATAAATACATTTTGGGGAATGAACCACCTGTGACTCAATGACTATGTTTGGTTGTAATGGGTGTGTGACACAGAGTAATAGCAGAAGAGTTTGTGCTGGTCAATTCATTTGTTCCAAAAAGAAACCACTGACACCCTCGACTATGGCGGGTAATTTCATATGCAAAGTAGTTTTGATTACAATGTCTACCATATGGTCTACATGGAATCAAGTATTTAAGGGAATACAAAGACTTACTATATTGAATGCAGGTCAATTGAATAATACCACCATTCCAAGTGCTATTATACAGTATGTTAAATCTTTGAATGCTGAAATTGTCAGAAAGACTTTCCAATGCAGTGAAATGAGTAAGTATGCCCCTCTAGATAACTATAGGTGTGCTCAAGAGGGCCATATACAATTAATTTAAGGGGCAAATAGAGGGAATGGGTCAGGTTAAAGTTCAGATCAGAGGTTGGTGTACATTGGAAAGTCTTTCTGAATTGTCACTTTTTAAAGAAAGAAATTTTTCTAAAAATTGTTTAGGATTTTTTCTCAAAAATGTTGATCAGGTCTTGTAGCCAATACAAAATGATGTCCACTAATTTGGTTGAAAATCAACGAAAAGATTACAAAAGACCACATAAAAATGTCAAAAACAATTTGTTCGGAGAGTGATGGCGCGCAAAGAGCCATGCTAAACTGCGTCATAAAGTACTAGTACTACAGATTCAATAGAAAACATTACACACTATAGAAAAAAAAACAATGACCCCAGTGTTCTAGCTTCTGATGCAATTCATATCAGAGGTGTTCAACCAACTATTCCGTTTATACCACAAATCATAGAGCTAAAATACATGAAGTATAATGTAAACAAAAGTAGACGCCCACAAATACATATTCAACCCCCTCTCCCCTATCCTTTCCACAGCTGCAGTGTTAGCTTTCCAATACATACTGTGAAATACTTTATTTTAGCTGGAATTAATTTTCGCTGAAAAGACATTTTGGGTGTTTTGTATGGAATTTATTTTCACTGATTTTTGACAAGTTGAATGTAAAATATAGGAAAAAAGAATTTTATTTTCACTGAATTATTTCTTCAGCGAAAATTAATTCCAAGCGAAAATAAATTATTTCACAGTAATACAGATATTCCCACATGACACTGATTTTTATTTTTTGTGGAATAAACTCATTATCATTATCATATATATATTATTTTATTTCATGGCACAATTATTATTATTATTATTATTATTATTATTATTATTATTATTATTATTATAACCCTGTGCTGTATGTACAGCAGGGTTCATTCACACTTATAATCACAGAATTAACAGTAAAAGTAAACAAACACAGATGATAATAATAACAAATATCACCATTGTATAAAACACAATGGAAAGCCTTAATCTTGCAGTAAATTTACTTACTGATTAAAAAATGCAGTGGGGGGGGGGGCTGTTAGACTATTAATGTAAACAACATTGACAATGGGGCCTCCCATGATCACACATGCCTGGAAATGAGTAGTGTTGATTTAATAACAGTTATACAAAATGAGAGCATTGCTTTCTGTCTTGTTACAGCTATGTTATCCATGGGTACGTTTTAGAATTGTGTAAATTGGAACCTATGGTGCTCATATAATTTATTTTTTTAAGTTATGTCTCTTTTTATCGTTATGAGTCATCACCAACTATTTTTACACTTTCACTGTGGAAAATCACCGCCGACACACCTAGGTGGAGCATACTATCTCAGTACAAAACGTGTACATACCGCCCGATTGTCAAGGAATGTTAACGATGCACACACTGAGTTCCGTCGGCTCACACTGCAATAAATTTGTATGCCGGCAGTACCTAAATGTTATAAACTCAAAATCAAACTTGCAAATTATTGTTGTCGCCGAACAACAAGATTCTAGCATGAGTGAATCAAAGACACTGCGACGCTGACGTGTACAGATACTGGGTACTGCGAATGCGCAACTTTGATGTTTACAATTACACGTAAACTAGTTTATGAAAAGGTCTCCTGTGTAGTCATTGTTTTTAACCGCTACCTGTAATAAATACAATGTTTACACTTCACGTCGCTAATACCAGGGTGGTAATTTAACTAAGCGAGACGCAGTTAACAGTTTTAAACTTTTATCATTTATCAAAACTAAGAAAACGATCAATGACCGGGGAAACTGTATCAAAAGGGATCTAACTACAAAAAGCTGGAAAGCGAAAATCCGGGGGAAAACCTTGTACCAATCTTACCTGGTTGAAATATCAGAAAAACCTCCGCCGTCCAGCAGCCGAACTTTACTGAATATAATTCCATTCACAAAAGGCACCGAGGACAGTTCCTCCAAGCTGAAATTCACTTGGAATTTAAATCGTTTCTTCTTCATAATGAAAGACATTAAGATGGAGATAGGGTTTGTTGTTGCAGCGAAGAGCCTTCACTGAACAATCATATCGCAAACTGCTGATCGGGCGATTGACTGTGATTCATGTACCTGACGGCATCCGTTTATCGTCACAATAATACTTTAGTTCGTTGAAATCATGTCCTAGAGTAGCAAGATACACAGGGTTATATCTGAATCCACACAAATGAGTTGAAATTCCAGCAAGGTCGATATCCTACTGACGTACACGAATGAAAACCCGACAAATAACGCATCACCGGAAGAAGATTGGCGATTGAATTGCGCATGCGTGTTACGCGACCTAAGGTTGAGAGATGTTATTATCAGGCGAGGTGAACTGTATTTAAAGAAAATGTCCAGTTCTATATTCTGACATTTCAGCAGCTAATGCTCTTACTAAAATAAGAATATCCTTTAATTACATAAGTATGTAATTTATAGAGATATGTATTTTGTTCTGATATGTCGTATGTTTCACCACTATTTAAAACTCTACTTACCTAACATACTAAGTGGACGCCCCCAACTCACTTCCGTGATTCCCCGAAGTTACGATAAGACTGTGTGTTTGGGAAGCTGAAAATATACTAGTACCTCGTTAGTATCTCACTCATAACCACACACGCTCATGTTAAACACTCGTAATTTCATTGGGCTCTTCCGAGGCATTCTATTCTGCCAGATCAACAAACTGTGTTTGAGAACTGGTGCAATGTCAGAGGGAAACCATCTCCACTCGGTGGCTTCTACCGAGAAAAGCAGTATCCAAGCTGGTCACATTACAGAAGTCCACAATGTTCCGATAAATGTACTTATACGACCCATACCATCGGTTTTGGAGGAAGAAAAAGTTTTGAGCCTAATGAATACGATAGAGGTGAGAGCCCGTCGTGCGGAAGATCACATCAATTACATTGTCAAGCCCCGTAATTTATTTTAAATATTTTTTGTTGAATACTTAATCCCATTACTGTCGTGACCAATTTATTAGTAGTAGCAAAACTAAAGGCTGAACACCTAGACCGAAACATATTTGATATATATATAAACTCGCCATTTAAAGAAACTTGTTTATCGGTTGCTATGCAGGATCAGTATGGGATGGAGGGGTGATAATGGCCACTTGTTTATAAGATAATTTTCTGATTTTTCACAAGTTTAATAGATTTCCGTGGCTGTTTTCCAACAGATAAGTCCCACATATATGGATATCAAAATTACACCAGATCTGTTACATCCTATTTCGTTGGTGTACAAAAATACAGGAAGACATTTCTCATATTCGTATCATTTTACACACATTGATTTATCTGTTTTCTGTGATCCAGAATGAGGAGTCCAGTGTTCCTCCTGTTGATGTGTTGTGGATTCAAGGTCGACAAGGAGGAAATTACTTTTATTCGTTTGGCGGTTGTCATCGTTATGAAGCATATAAGAGACTAAAATTGGAGTTCATTCCGTGCAAGTTGTTTAAATCAACGGTAAATGACTTGAGAAACTACCTCGGTTGCTCAACCCCAGATTTACTATAGTGGCTTCTTGACACTAGAGGGCGATGTTCATTTCACATTGCACAGAAATAGATTATACAACCCAAGGCATGGATATTACCTTTAAAACTCACTTGTCCGAAATGTATGTTGCATATATATTTAGTACAGTATGTTAAAGCAAGTGAGTTACGATTCAGTTGTTTGAATGGCAACTATATGTATCTTGAGCTATATGACTACACTTACTTAGTGTCTTGCTCTGCATCCTATGTATGTATTAAACATCTTAATATTAATATACCATAGTTGGTACATGAGGATTTATTTGTACAGTTTGAACGGGAACTGTGTCATTTTCAATGACTTGTTTATTAAAAAATTATTATAAACTACACCTTTGTGTTGAGTGTTTAATTTGTAAGTTATATGATGGAAAATATATAGCAATGTGATGCTCCTTCCTAGAAGCGCATCTCTAATCCTTGGGGCGGAGCTACGTCACAAGACGTTCCATGTTGCTAAGACGTGCACCACTGTACCATGTATTTCTATGGGTTCTGCGCAAGCTGCTGTGGAACGCCGGTCGAGCCGGAGAAAACAACACAAACTCAACTTTGAAGTAATCCTGAATTTATATATGTTGCACACGCAGGGGTAATCTTGTTGCACTGTTCAAAGGAGTCTGAACAACTATTCCAAAGTATCATTTTCTGATATTTTTTGGTCTTTGTTATCACTGCGATGGTTGCCAGGCGGTGAAAATGCCTGGATGCATAGCTTTATTTGCTCTATTAAAAACACATCTACATTTGTTGTAGCCATTTTAGTTAATCTTGCTTTGTAAATTATGACCCATTTGATGTTTGACTAAAAATACTAATTTCAACATCTTTGATATATATTTGCCAAGGATTTACATGTGGTAGCTTTCTTTAAATAATTAGACTATCAGGTCATGTGGTAAATACTGCCCTCAGTGTTAGTTGTTAGACAGTTACATCATTAAACTTTATATACTATACATTTCTGACTGTACACCGAAAGACACTCATAAACGGATGCTAAAATACTAATGTCATATATAGCAAAGAACTTCAGTTTTCTGTTTTTAATGGATATTTATGTCATTTTTGGTTGTTCATTTCATGATGATATCATCAATATTTTGATAAATGGAAAAATTATCAATTTTATTTGTTTTTAAAGTGTTACTTAATTATTGATTTAGACATCAGTCATTAACATTCAGAATTTTTCACCCAGTACAAATATTTTATTTTGGAGAAAATTAGTCTGAAAAGATGCAAAAATTTTGGAACTATTTCCATAGGAATTTGTGTTAAAACATTATAAAAAAATAATATTTTTTCTCAATAATTTGGGACAACCAAAAGGACCCATTTTATAACATACATATTATTCTTTCAGTATGTATACCTGAACAAAATGCTCATGGGTGTTTAACCCATTTTTTGTGTGAAAAAGTAGTTTGTTAACCATACAACCAACAAACAATAGACCATTTTCTGTACACTGCGAGAATCACGCGTTATGCGTGAAATCGAACGTAAAAACAGGACAAACAAAGGTCATAGCGTCGTAGTCGCGTCAAACATCGCGTGGGATTCGACAAACGCGAAAGTATTTCGGGGACATTTCCATGCTTAATAATGTGCTGTCCACATTTGATGATAGGCAATTTCGATTAAGTGAGGGTATTCGGAATCAATATTCCCCTGTCGAAGATCGGCCGGTCGATGTAAGCTGCGAAATAAAGAAATTCTAGTTCAAAATCAAATCGTTCGATTTTTGTGGCAGACGTTTGACGCGCGTCTTTAATGCATCTCGCGAGATCTTGAAATGGTACGGAAAATCACCTATTTAAGATCTGGTTTATAAATTTCTGGCATAAAAAACTGTGGTAAAAGTATTATAGTACTGCCAAAATGACCACTATCCCGGAAAATATGACCATCATTTTCTTGAAAATTAAGCTGGTTACCCCAAAGTTTTTTAAGTAATTTTATTGCCCTGGAGAACAATTCATTGTAAAATGAATACATTCTGGTATTTTTATTTATGAGTATGGTTGGCTTCTACCTTAACTATAATATCATTGTGGACATAGCAGTGACAAACTGAATACCATTTCTATACTCTGAATCTGAGATGAATTTACACCAGAATTCTTGCAAATTCTATTTCAATCTAATTAAAAGCAGCTCTGGACGTTTTTAATAACACAACAGTCAGTGCACATTGATCTTTAAGCCCTCTGTTTGCCAAAGTCAACTTTTGTAACGTTTAGAATAATAAAACCCATGCAAGTTTTTTCATTTTTTTTTCAAAATTGTGATCCAGATAAAATAAAATATGCAAAATGCATTTAAATTTTGTTTGGGAAAAAATGCCAATCAAAGGATTAAAGAGGTTTTAGCTAAATTGAAGATTATATGTCATTTTTGTGTTACTGTCGACGCCGTTAGGCCAAAAAAAAATTGTTTTGTTGCCCTCAGCGACCGACCACAAAATATGAAATATCGGGTCACGTTTTTTTTTCCCATATACCTTGGCTATTTACGATACCCTTAGTTTTCATGAGTTTGAAAAAAAAAAAAAATTCGACCGACCGACCAAATTTTTGACTCCTGTGTGCGAAGCACAAAAAGGGAGTCTTTGCAGTTAGTGTGTCTGTATGTGTGTGTGTATGTATGTCCGTCTGTTCCACTGATATCTCAAGAACCATACATCAGTTTTTGATGAAACTTGGTGCATAGATGCTCTGGGCCAATGCACAGATTTGATTAGGTTTTGGTAAAAATCCATGCATATTAATTACCTAATTTGCATGATAATTAGCTGATTTTTAGCTGTTTCATGACTGTTCCACTGATATCTAAAGAACCACTCATTGGATTTTGATGAAACTTGGCACACAGATGCTCCAAACTAATGCGCAGATAGTTTTGGGTAAAAATCTGTGCAATATTAATTACCTAATTTGCATAATGATTAATCAATTTTCGGCTTTTCCACT